ACAGCATTTAGAATAGGCCTGGATTTGTATAAGACTTTACAGGTGCTGTCGACTACATAAATCAAGAAGCCACAGTTGAACAGAATCTGTTTTTTGTTTGTATAAAGTGATGAACAAAACAAGGTAATTTTATTTGTAGTACTATTATTCACTTTCTGTGTGGGAGAAAAAAATGGTACCAAATGTCATCATATCAGTTGAGGCAGGCATCTGATTCAGGGATAAGCAAGGCATTTCCTTCCTAACAGGGTTTTACTGTTAAATGGAGTCTTTATTGTCACTGTAAAAAAAGAAAGAAAAAAAAAAAAGACCAAGATATCTACCTTCTCAATCCATATCAAGTTTTTTAAAGACAATAATAATAATAATAATTGCAGGTAACACTGTATAGTTCTTACTACATATCAGGCACTGTTCTAAATGCTTTACAGGTATTAAGTCACTTCATCCTCTCAATAACTTCATGTGTAGCTACTATTATTATCCTGCTTTATAGATGAGTAAATGGGTTATGTTGCCCAAAGTCAGGAGGTAGTAACTGGCAGAGCTGAGATAAGAATGCAGGCAGTCTGGGTCCAGGGGCCAGACTTAACCATTATGCTATGCTGCCTGGCAGTCACATGCAGGATGGCAGACAGTATGGGGGAGAGGAATGGAAATGGGCGCTACTTAACCTGTTACCAACAAGGACCTGTACTCGAACCTGTACTAGGCAGTGAAATAGGAAAAAAAAAAAAAAGATTAAAAGGAAGCACAAGGGAGGTTTCTGGAGAACTAGACTGTTTCTTGATTTAGGTGCTAGTTACATGGGTGTGTTCAGTTTGTGAAAACTCATCAGCTGTACTTTTTTTTTTTTAATTTGGGGCACTGGGGGAGGGGAACAGCATTGGGGAATTGGGGAAGGGGAACAGACAAGTTGCTGTCCTTTTGTTCTTCAGTCTAGTTGTGGAGGATGTCACTTCACTGGCCCATGTTGGTATTATCATTGCGCTCTTCCCGAGTGAGGCAGATCAGTCGCCGGCCACTGGACGGCCGCTCACAGCAGCTCTTGGCAGCTCATCCTGGCTGCCAGCCACTCACGGTAGCTTATGGCAGCCCACTGCAGCTTCACTGCAGCCTATGCCATCGCCAGTGACTCACGGCAGCCCAGCTCCAGGTCGAGCTGTTGTTCACCATCTTAGCTGTAGAGGGCGCAGCGTCACTGGCCCTCATGTGGGATCTAAACCGGGGGCCTGTTGCTCAGAGCTGGCATCCCAAGCCAGCTCCTAACCAACGCACCACTCAGTCGGCCCAAGCTGTACTTTTAATACACATATATTCATGAATAAAAAGTTACAGGATGAAAGGATTTGGGTAGCATCATGAATGGCTTTTGCCCTCCTCTATTTTCCAAATGTTCCAGAACACCCAAGCGAGGCACCATGGAGCTCAGAGGCCATGTGAACCAGTGCAATCACCCATGTGGATGATTCTCAAATCTCACTGTCCAGCCTGATCCAGCAGCCCAGACATCAGCTGAGCTACAGGCAACATGCATCATGGTTCAGAGAGTGGCATTAAGAGCTACACTGCCTGGGCTCGAATCTTGCCTTTGTACCTGTTAGATGTGTGATCTTGAACATGCTACTTCACCTCTCCGTTCTGTCTTGCTCTCTGCAACTGTGAAGCTGGCACTGTGAAGCTGACACAGTGTCTAACTAACAGGGCTTTACTGCGTATTAAATGAGCACTTACAATCGTGCCTGGCTCGTAGAAGACAGCACTAAATGTTAGCTCTTGTTCTCACCATTTAGGCCCACAGCCATGGTCTCCTTCTATCTTACATCAGTTACCATATACCTTTCTTTATCATTTCCCCATTATTTAGATAATACTATTATTCCCTGCCATGTTCCAAAGAGAACTTTAGATTGGTTTTAGCTATTCTTCAAGTAGTAAAATCAAGTAGTAAAATACAGAAAACCTGGAAAACAAAATCAAGTGTTATACTTTTAGGACTGTAGTCATCCTGCTGCTGCTGCGAAATGTCTGAGGTGAGCTGTAGGCACAAACCACAGCCGTCACATTAGAGCCACCATAAAAGGACCATCAGTGCAGAAGGGACTGTGGAACACACACCAGTCAATAGACACTCAGGAAACAGCCACAGCTTTTTATTTTGAAAACTTAGAAGGTTAGAAGGACAGTACAATGAATACCCATATGCCCTTCACCTAGATTCACCAGTTGTCAAATTTTGCCACATTTGCTTTCTCATCTCTCTCTCCACATACAGACACTTTATTTTGCTGAATTGTTAGAAAATTAAGTTGCAGACATCATGTCACTGTACTCACAAATACTTCAGCTTTTATCACCTAAGAATAAGGACATTATCCTATATAACCATAATACCATATCTCACCCAAGGAATTTCAGTTGTATAATACCATCATCTAAATAGTATTTTTCCAATTGCCCTAAAAACGACCTTTTTATTTTTACAATTTAGAATCCAATCAAGGATCATGAGTTCATTTAAACCGTCATGTTTCCCTTAATCTGGGACCGCCCCCGCCCCCTCCCTTTTTATATCTTGCATAGCACTGACATTTTTTAAGAGTCCAGGCAGTTGTCTTGTAAAATGCACAATATGGAATTGTCTGACTGTTTGCTCATGATTCAATTCAGGTGAAACATTTTTGGGAAAGTGCTACATAGTTGATGATTTATACTTCACATGCAACATAGAAGGAGGTACATAGTATTAATTTCTTCCATTATTGGTATTGCTACATTTGATCACTTGGTTATGGTGATGTCCACCCACATCTTTTCATTGTGAAGGAATTCTTTTTCTCTGTGTAATAAATAAGTAATCTGTAGAGGGATATTTTTCAAGTCCTTGTGAATATCTTGTTCCCCAACAATCTTTTTATTCAATGGTTTTAGTATCTGTTGACAAACTGCCTGAATCGATGATCACATTTGCAATGCAAAATGGTCTCTAGTGATGTTTATGGCGTGGGTGAAATGAACCCCTGCAAATCAAATCCTATTTTTTCACTCACTTGCATTATTATTTCATAACTATAATATCAGAACTATTTCAGAAGTTCATCTGCTTGACCCCACCTGACAGTGATTCATAACACCTACCTATTTTACATTTCTCTGATCTCTATCCACCTGAGCAAGCACATTAAGTAGAGACAAACATGTAAATACACTGGCTTAAGCAGTAGGCAGGGAGTTACCTGTCTTGTAAGCAAGATGTTGCCTAGTCTTTGGAGCCCCCTTTCCTATAGCAGATCAAATTCCACATCAAGGGAAGTCTATTTTCCCGAAGACAGTTCTATATCGAAGTCAGCTTCAGGCACCCCAAGAAGGGAGAGGGAAGCACAAGGGCTCGCGCAGCAGACTCTTGGCACAATTTTAAAGATTCTTCAAACCATAGAAGGACAGTACCAAATCACATGGGCCAGCTGCTTCAGGCAGCCTGCTTCCCCTGCCTCTGTAAATGTTACTTCTTCCTGGTCAACCGTTCTTCAGAGCCCGAACACCATCCCCAGACCAGCTGCATTAGAACCCCCTGGGGAGCTGGTTAAGAAACAGATGCCCTAGTCCCACTTCTGACCAACTGAACCAGCACGTTTACAAGCTCCCCAGGGGATCTCATGAGCAGCCAGGCTGGGAACCCTTGCTTAAGAGAAGAACCACTATAGCCTCAAAAACGGGACTATCCCATAGTACACACAATGGTAGGTGGTAGTTAAGTACCAGTCTCATTATATGACAGCCACCCTGCCAACAACTGACTCCCAGGGGTCTGGAATGATAGCAGAGGAGCTCAACCCAAAGACTACTGAACCTCCAATTTATAATCTATTCAAGGATGGAAAAAAAAAAAAGTCACTGTACTTAAAAGAAGCTGCCATATCTATGGTTCTTCAAATTTCCTCTCTACCAGAAGCATCTAGGATATTTACCCCCAAAGACTCAGGGTCAGGGGTCTCCTGAGGGGCCCAGGAATGTGTTTGCAACAAACTCTCCAATACTCCTGATGCAGGGGGTCTGAGGACCACTGTGAGGGACGCTGGCCTGCATGCTGCTCTGCCCTATCTATAAGCAGTCAAAGAACAGAGTTGGGTAAAGTGTCTTGGCCTTCATTTGAAGGATACTTACCAAACCAAAGAACCAAAATCTGAGGTCATATAGGAAATGTTTTTGAGCAATTAATTAGCCACACACAAACATTCAGATGATATGAAACCCCCCATAAAAGGTACTAAGTGTGACTCCAACATTTCATCCCACTGAAGTTCTACAAGCAGGCTGAGCCAAGAGCGGGCGACCAAGGTTGCCAGCACAATGTCCGACTTCAGGTTCCATGTCAGTAGTCTCCAGAGGGGCTACAGGAGCACAGGACCATCCCCTGGAGAGCACCCGAATCATTTGAATCAAACAATATTTCTGACTGTCAAGGTCCTGCCTGATTCCAGCTTCCACTTCACAATGTGAGGGAGCAAGCTTCTGGCATTCTTTATCTCTGCTCCACCCTCTACTGTTAACCCAAGCCTTAGTCAAGATTCAAGGTGTGCTTGTGTCCCCAGAAACAAAGATAGTTAAGCCACTGGCAAGAGGGAGCAAGGACCGCCCTCATGATGGAGAATGGGGCAGACAGAAAGAGCTAGTCAGTCAGTTCCATGCCGAGGTGGCCTTTGGTTCCCTGGGAATCAGGAGCACGGCTGGCAGACTGCGACAAGAGCTCGGGTTGTCAAAACAGCGACACAGACTCCCAGTTGCTGCAAGAGGTCATAGTGACATATCCTTCTCTTCCACAGCCCAGGTAGCTTCCCACCCAAAAACACCAGGCAAAACAAGTCGCCCTCATGGTACAAATGGGGTATAACACTCCCAGGAAAGGTCACTCTGAGGATATCAAAATACACTTGCGAGTTCCCAAAGCCAAGCAGGCTCATGGCAAAAGGACCACACCAGTCAACTCTTGGGGCTCTTACCTGACTGGAACACGTATCTGGCCAAGCCCTGCATTAGCTCTGCTGGCCATGTGGGTGGAGCAGACTCCCCTGTTTCTCTCTTCAGACGAAATGTCAACTCAAAGCCAAAACCACTAGGTCCATCTGTTCCTGTAAATCTGAAAGGAATAAAAAACAAGTGTTTTTTTAGTTCACCTACCTTAGGAAAAACACTGTTTTGAAAGTCTAAAGTTCTCCCTTATTCTTGGTGGCCTCAGCATCCAAACCCCGTAGTTAGAGGAGTCTCCCAGGGTGTGAACCTTGAAGGGAGGAAGAACTTACAGGGCTTGATAGCCTGGAAGGACCCAAAACTCGAGCCTTACCCACCAGCCAGCTACAGCACTTGTGTAGGACCTTGGCCCAGCCAATCAAATTCCCCTGCTGGCACTCTCAATTACAAGTTCCACATTTTGTGGCTCTGGAACATTCCTTTCTGTGTGTTGAGGGTCCATTACTGAAAATCTTCCTTATTGACACTTCATATTCCTTCAAGCTGTTAATAAGCACCCACTTCGTTTGCTAAGAACACAGGTCCTACTGTATGCTGTGTGAGGACAAGGCCCTTTCTCTGCTTCCACCTCCACCCAGCCCCACAAGGGTGCAATCCTCAGGTTGGGCTGACTGATCTCCAAACTCAGCATTTGCAGACGGATCCCAGGGCAGATTCCAAATACTGGGGGGGCCCATATTCTTCCTGCAACCCAGCACCCCTTGGGCACTCATCAATCGGCATGTGCGCTTCCTGAAACCTGGCACCTGCGTGTACTCTTCAGTCACTGGAACCTTGAGGAAGCATGGTTTGCCCTCCCTTCCCATCCCCAGGTGGCCATGAAGGATGAGGGTTACTGCCTCTGTGGCCACACTCACACAGTGACGATGAATCAAGGACGCCTGCCTCCCTGTCTGCTGGGAAACACTGAGGAGCCCCAAGTCTCCTGAGAGGGACTTCTGCCAGAAACGGAAATGATACGGATTAGAGAGCAAGGCCTGGTTGGGGGATGACACACCTCCTCAGGTGAGGGAGGTGTCCAACAGAGAGTTTCTGAGAGCTCAGGAGGCCTGCCAGCATGGGAAGGGTTAAAAGTTAAACATGTTCATGATATAATTTTCAGTAATTATGCCTTGTACAAGCATGAGCCATAATGATTATACACGTGTAAATTCCTCAGCATACAAATACAAACCATAAACTAAGATGACAGCCCACACCTCCTTGCCAGCCAAGCTACTAGAACAGGTGGTCAGAGGGGAGAATTCTGAAGGCCCAACCCTGAAATTCCAGATGGCATCTTTCTGTCATCATCACCACCACCACAATCATCATCATCACCCCTCAAGCGGCCAGGCCCAGAGACTGGAGACAATGAGGTTCAAAGTCTCAGCTCTCACCAGTCCTAGCCTTGCTGTGGGTCTGGGTGAGCGCACACCTCCTGCACTTGCTAGGGCAGGGAGGTCATCTCTGAGAGCTAAGTTCTCGAAAGGACTGAAAAGGACTCCACCCTTAGTCACCATGATCATACCCAATTACATTCAAAGGAGATGTCTACAGTTTGCATTTCCTCTGGGCATCTAGCAATGTGGGAAACAGAATCCATTTTGAAGGTATACACCTAGAATTTTGGAGAACACGCCAGAAGACAGCACGCAGTATTAGCTGTTTTCTTTCCTTGCTGAGCTGCCCTATTTGGGGGCCATTCCATGCAGGGAGGCTGAGGGGATAGCTAAGCAAACTGAGGCTGGAAGAACTGCCTCCCAAGAGCTGCAGGTGTGAGAGGAGTATGAAAACCTGAGGAATGTAAGACTGACTCGGGGTTAAAACTCTACAAAAGGAGATGGGTCATAAGTCAAAGGGAAGATTTCAAGCAGCCACCAATTAGAGGCAGCTTTGTAAAATGTATTAGAACATTATTCCAGGGCTTTCATCATGGGCCAAGAAAAATACATGATTTCTAACCGCAAAAACTTGAGAAACAGACTCAAAGAAGCACGTTCCACAGGATGCGCAATGGGGAGAACCTCAGATGCAGAAAGAGAAATCATATGCATCCAAGCGGCACCACCTCTCTAAGGAGGGCTGTGCACACATGCACACGCATGTGTGGATATGCATGCACACACATGCATGTATATGCTGTCTGCCCCCACACAGGGTGCTTTCTGGGCCAGCTCTGTGGTGGACAGGCCAGCCCTCACAGGGCTGGCTAGGAGGGACCTGGCCAGATGGTCTCCACCTGCATTTGATTACCACCCACCAGGCGGGCTGGACACATCCTCGAAACTCTGAAACATGAGTTTGGAATGGCACAGCCTCAGGATAAACATACAACCTGGAGCCTGTCAGGTCTCTTTTTCAAGGCAGGATGCCCAGGCAATAGCCAAGTGGCAAAGTCATTCAGTCTTTAAAGTCCCCTGGAGGGGGCTGGCTTGGTCTGTACTTCCTCACGTGAGGGCTTCTCTAGCCAAAGAGGTTTTGTCTGACCAAAGCCCCTCTTAGGGAGCAGCTGTCTCTCACATCCTCCAAGAAAGGAAAGCATGAGAGGAAATTGGCAGAAGGTGGGATCTGGGTCAGAGCAAAGAATTTTTCTAACACAGAAAGCTGCTAAAATACTGGCTGGCTTGTGGTAAAGGGGACCTGTGGGATTTCTTCCTACAGGGGTTTTTTAAAAGAATACATTACAGATTATCCCCAGTCTGGTAGGGAGGGATGAGTGACTCTGTCTCGTTGCAAAAGGATGAATGAGATGGTGTCTGAAAATTGTTTCCAGTTCAAGAATTCTGATCCTACTCATTGAGGTGTCCAGGGGAGAGGATGGCTTTGTCTCAGCGGTTTGGCGAGCCTAGGAATGGTCGTGCCAGGCTCAAGAGTAACAGCAAACCTGCCTACAGGAAGAACGCGTGCCTTGAATTCGAAACACAGTTGCCCGACCCCTGGAACCCGCCCAAAGGTCTCTCGCAAAGCATCTGGCTAAGAAGGTATCACTCAGCCTCCAAGAGGCCAAAATGACTGCTAACTCCAGGCAGAAGCTAAATAGGAGAGGCTCTCTGGAGGAAACACAACAGTTGGGGTGGGCAGAAAGGGTTGACCTAAAAGTTGGCATCTCGTGCTCAACACCATTATTATTGGGGAAATGCAAATCAAAACCACAATGAGGGGCTGCTTCACACACTCTAGGATGGCTAAAATAAAAGATGGACAATAAATGTTGGCGAAGATGCAGAGAAACTGGAACACTCATATACTGCTGGTGGGATTGTAAAATGGTGGAACTGCTTTGTGAAACAGTTGGGCAGTTCCTCAAAAAGTTAAACATGGAGTTACCATATGACCCAACAGTTCCACTCCTAGGTATATAACCAAGAGTACTGAAACCATATGTTCGCACAAAAGCCTGTACACTAATATTCACAGTAGTACTATTCATAATAGGCAAGAAATGGAAGCAACTCAATGTCATCAATGGATGAATGGATAAACAAAATGTAGCATATTCATACAATGGAATAAAAAGGAATGATGTAGTGATACTTGCTACAACATGGATGAACCTTGAAAACATGGTAAGTGAATGAAGCCAGAAAAGGCCACATACTGTATGATTTCATTTACGTGAAATGTCCAGAATAGACAAATCCATAGACAGAAAGTAGATTAGTGGTTTCCAGGGACTAAGTGGAGGAAAGAATGTGGCAGTGGCTGCTAATGGGTACAGAGTTTCTTTGGGGGGTGGTGATGGAAATGTTCTGGAATTAAATAGTGATGATGGCTGTATAACCTTGTGGATATACTAAAAACCACTGAATTGTACATTTTAAAAGGGAAAATTTCATGGTATGCGAATTATATCTTAAATAAACAGGGGCCAGCGGAGTGGCTCAGTTGGTTAAGAGTGCGAGCTCTGAGCAACAGGGTCGCTAGTTCGATTCCCACATGGGCCAGTGAGCTGAGCCTGAGTTGAGCTGCTGCTGAGTTGTCAACAGGTGGCAGGATGGCTCAGCTGGTGAGAGCACATGCTCCTAACAACAAGGTTGCCAGTTCGGCACCCGCATGGGATGGTGAGCTATGCCCACCCGCAACTAACACTGAACCCGGCACATTGAGCTGAGCGGCTGCGAGCTACCAACGGGCAGCCAGATGGCGACTGGACTTGGAGCTGAGCTAGCTGCGCCCTCCACAACTAAGACTGAAGGACAGCAACTTGGCTGTTTCCTTTCCCCAATTCCCCAGCCCTGTTCCCCTTCTCCAATTCCCCAATAAAATCTTTTAAAAAAGCCAGCATCTCAGATACAACTAAATGCTAGGGGAGGCAGGGCCAACCACCCCAAGTAAGCTGGGTCTACCTATTAATAACCACTATGATAAACTATGAACACTTACTAAGTTTGAAGCCTTGGACTAAGCATTTTTCTTATGTCACAGCATTTAATTATCCAATAACTCTTTGACTCAGCCATGGTTATCCTCATTTAATTAATATGTGAAAAGAAAAGACACTTGAGCGAGTTTAAGTAATATTCCATAAGTCACACCGCCAGCCATGGAGCTCAGACTTGAGGTCTGCCTGACTCCAAAGACCATCTTCTTAGTGCTGTGTGACCTCGGGCAAGATCTCTCTGTGTCTCAGTTACCTCACCTATAAAATGGAGATAATAATAGTAACAATATCTATTTCAGAGTTGTTATGAGGATTAAATTCTTAAAAACTAGAATACTGTAAACATTATATCATTTACACTAAGTGAAAGAAGCCAGTCACAAAAGACCATATATTGTATGATTCCATTCATATATGATAAATAATATAATTTGTAATATATATAACATAAAATGTCCAGAATAGGTAAATCTATAGAGACAGAAAGTAGATCAGTGATTGCCTAGGGCTGGGAGATTGAGGACAAGTGTGAAGTGACTGCCTATGGGTGTGGGGTTTCTTTTTAGGGTGTTAACAAAAAGTTCTAAAATTAAATTATGGTGATGGTTACACAACTGTGAATATACTAATTGTATACTGTAAGTGAGTGACTGTAGGGTATATGAATTATATCTCAATAAAGCTATTTTTTAAAACTGAGAGAAAAAAACAAAGATCTGGTGGTAAAAAAATTCACAAATTGTAGC